GAGACGGAAGCTCGAGGAATCTCTTGCGAACATTCTCCCCGTGAGAATTTTGCTCAGATAAGGACGAATCAAAGCTAGAAGATATAGAGGTGGCAATAGCTGAAATTGGCAACATCAAAGTGCTAATGGCTTGCAAATCTCTGGTCATATCACCAAGGATCAAAACATACCCTTTCTTCTTACAACTTTGTTCCAACCAAACAATTTGCAATTAATGTGTATTCCTTTGATCTCACCAAAACAGATGCCTTTTTTTAATGAATTTCTTGCTAACCATGTGATCAAGTAGGATTCCCGGCATAAAATGTCAAAAGAAAACGATCTCAAAGGGAGACAATAATGTAAGTGGCATAATTCATGTTCTCATCCCACCATTAATTGTATGGTATTTAGATATACTATCCAAAAAAAAATCAACAAATGAGTATCTGATACTATTGGGTTCATTTTTACACATGATTTATCATGTTATTCACCCAATATTTTGAGTTAGTTCTTGATATTTTATAGTTTTTTACTTCCTTTTTGTGTTTTCATAGATTTTACCTTGATTAGAATGAAAATGAGCCAAAAATGCATTATTGGTTATAAATTTTGTTTTTTCATTTTCGTAGGTCAACTTCTTGGCCTTGGATCAGTATGCTTCGATGCTCGGATGAGGTGAAGATCTTCATAGAACTTGTTCCAATGGATGTTGACTACAACATATCCGAATTTGAGCTCCATTGAACAAGTATAACCTATCCGAATTTGGGCAAGTTTTTACCTCCATGATGTCATCTTGATTCTTCTTGTTACCATACCATTTGGTAACAAGAATTTACTTTGATGGAGTGCAATTTTCTGAGACAAAGAGAATCTTTGTGAAGACAAAAACCAAAAATCATATCATGACATAAAAAATAGAATGAATATGTTATTGGTGGGTGAGTTGGAAAGGAGGAGAGAGGGGAGCATAGAGAAGGCATCTGCCATTCATTCAACGGAAGAATTAAATTTTGCAGAGATGAGAGCAGGTTTTAGAGAGCTAGAGAAGGAAGAAGGTGCAGCCAAGCAAGAAATGGAAGAAGATTTCCACCATTGAAGACCTTGAGCTTTCATCACTTTCACAAAATCTGTAAACTCTTTCTAGTTTTATTTTGAATTTGTGTTTGAAATAAGTATGCGGAACTAAACTCCATAGCTAGGCTTAGGTTGAAGCCCTAAACATGAATACTCTATTGTTTTAATGCTTGAGTGTATGAATTTCTAGATATTGTTGATGAATTCCCATTCACTAAAACAATCTATCCTTGATGTATGTTTTTCTTTGATTGATCACCTTTGAAAGTATGTTTCTTGAGGTTGTTGGAATTATATGTACCTTCATGTCTTCCTAAGCAACAAATGGATAAAGTAAGAATCATCCATGTGAATTGGTTTCTTGAATGCCTAATGTAAACATCATACTATTAGGGTTCTTGTGATGTTCATATTATCTTTGAACTTGATGGGTTTTTCTTGTAATCAAATTGAAGTACTAAGCACACCTAGATTGATTATAGGGAAGGCAAAAGTATTGTAGCACTAGCCCTGCACTCTACTTATATTAGAGAGAATCAATGCGTCTTGAGCCACTAGACC